TAACATATTACAATAAATAAGCATTGTTCCATAATAATAAAATTCAACAGGCATTCCAAGTAATGATGCAGGAGATTTTAAAGTTGCTAATAAACTCATTTCTGTTGGAATTATCTAAATGAATATATAATTTATAAATTGTTTTTTCAAATTATATTAAATAACTTTCATTCGACCATCAGCAGTAAGAAATTGTTTGTACGAAATTTGTTTGATCGAATATAGCTTTGAGAAATTCTAGTACCACATGATAAAAATAATGTTACTTAAATAACTAAATTATTAATTATTTATCTTTCAAAAGAAACCTATGCAAAAGTAAAATTAAAATAATATAATCAATCAAACCAAGATACATTTCAAATTATTATTATTATTGTCCTTCTATGTTAGAAAGGTAATATTTATTTCTTCATATGCGCTCATATCATAAAGAAATAAAGAATGAGAAAAGACGACAGATGAATCAAATTTTCATATCAAGATAAAGATTCATACACATTCATTACAATTATATTTTATATTAATCAAATCATCTATCAATATCAGATTTTCAAAGTTAAAAAAAACAAAAAGAAATTCCTTTTTATTCATCTCTACAAAATCTTTTCTTATATGTGCAATTGTCTATTTTATTTTACAGTCAATAAATAAACTAAAATAATTTGTTTCATGTACATATCATTTGCGTTCTTGTATAGAAAAACATTCCATATTTGTTTTTTTTCATTTTTCTTAAGTTGTATTCTGTTCAATAGTCTAATATGTCAGTTCAAATCAAATCAAGAATAACAAGAAAGAAATTTAAAAAAAATAAGAGTAGAGAAAAGTTTAACATATAATGAAAAAAGTGATAAAAGATATGTCGAAAGTTGTAAATCATTAAATGTGACACTTCTCTTACTAGGATAAGCTATATTTTACTGCACATTCATTCTTGTACATGAAGATTAACCACAAATATCATTTAATATACTGTTTTACATAGGTATTTAGAATACTTTTTAGAATAAACTTTCAAATTTTTTTTCAAAAGATTTTAAACTAATTTATAGAAATTATTTTATGAAAAATATAAATAAAAATAAATTTATCTTGTTTTTTTATCTAATGACAATTAAAAGATTAATTTCACTGCAATCATATATATGTCTATAAAAATACAATTTTATATAGATTAATTATATTATTCTTAATCAGTTTGTGAAATTATAGGTTTTTCAAGTATTAGTTGTTGATTTCGAGATCGTTGAAGGTTAGTTCTAAAACCATTTAAACCTAATCGACTTAAATAAATTTCACGTTGACGTTGTAATCTTGTTGTCAGAGGATGATAATCTTTAGGTCGATCTTTTTTTATATCAATTGGTGGATCACCACCAAGACTATTTTCTCCTAATAGATCAGGTTCATCAAGAAAATTTTTTCTGAGAGCATCAACTATATTAACAAACTGCATACAATCATTTTAACATATTTAGAAATTCATAATAACAAATAATAATTGATTTTGTTCGGAAACACAAAATGGTGGTTCTGAACCATCAACAAAAGCCGATAGTTGATTTTATCGTATAAATTGAGAACCAGATGGGTCTAACGATCGCTTTTTGTGCATAATACATATCATAATCCGCATCGATTAAATCCTTTATTAAAATAAAATATAAACTCAAAAATTTTCGTTTATTCTGTTTATCAGTTCCCTTGTTCAACATTTTCTTGTGCTTGAGAAAAAGTTTCTAATACAACTGCAATATATATTTATTTAAATCAAATTCGAAAATTGAAAACTAATAAGATCCATTGATAGTTCATACGACAACAAGAGAAGTAGTTCATACAAAAGTGACAAGAAATGGCGTTGCAATAGCCATATTACCATGGTCACCATTATTTGATGGTGATTTAATAGTTGAATCACAATCTGGTTGTCGATCATTTGTTAATGCTTGAAATACACCAGGCCAACTAGAAGTTGTACAAATTTGAAAAAGTACAATCATTGAATTAGGAAATGTTTCACAATTAAATAAATCTGTTATACCAACGGATTTTCTTACATAAACAAAAAATGATATTCCAAATATCGAATAAATAAAAGTTTATATCGTATTCGAAGTCAAATTGGATTCTGTTGCTAGTATAGACAGATCAGACGAATCAACTTCCTCAGAGTTGACCAGATTCGATTGAAATCTATGAGTTTAAACTGACTTTAAAAATATTCGACTGT